AAAACACAAAGGCTCAAAAAGAGAAAAGGACTGTGGAAACATTTGACAGATTAAAGAAGTCAACAGACAAGAAAAGCACAAACAAAGGTTTGGATGGACAAATTGAATTTGAAGATGTTAGCCTATTTGAAAGTTCCATTTTATGTGAAAATAGTGATGATTCTGAATATGATGTATCTAAATCAAAAAAATCAAAAATAATTTTAGAATTAACACCTGATGAACTAATTGAAGCTACCTCTGCTGTTAGCGTTCGGTATAGAATCGGTGTTAGACCCCAGGCTGCTATAATTTCTGCTAACTGCAATAAAGCAGGTATTGACTTGCATGAGATTAATTTATCAAGATCTACTCAGAAAAAGATTTTAAGAATTATTGAAAATCTTGGTAATTATTATTCACAAAAGTTATTAAATTAAGTAAATTTTAAAAGGAAAAAAACTCATAGTCCATTTTGATCTGACAGTTACCTGCAAGAAAATTGCAGTTAGTGTAACCAGTCCAGATTTGGAATGTAGAGATAATTATTTGCTCGACATAGTGCAGGCAGAAAATTCAACTGGGTCTGAGCAGGGGCATTTAATCCTCAATCTCTTGGAATACTATGATATTGTCAACAATATCATTAGTGCTTGCAGCAACACAACTGCATCCAACATTGAAAAATTTGCAGGACCAGTTACAATCCTATCAAATATCCTTAATACAAGTCTTGTCTGTTGCATGTGTCATCGCCATATTATTGAAGTACAGTTGATGACTGCACTGACTGGTACCGAGACCAAATCTCCAAGAAGAGAAATTTATGTGCACTTATAGAAGGCTTGGTCAAAGATTGTTGACAAAATAGACACATCATCAGATAATCTAGTTAAGTTTAACTGGACTTCTTTAGAGGTTGGACCACCTATCTATAATCTAACCAAGGCAGCATTAAAATTTGGGGAAACTGCACTAAATGAAAATATTTTCAAGAAAGGAGACTACAAAAATCTTTGTCAGTTATTTGTTTACTACCTTGAGGGTCATGTTCCTGCTATAAAATTTCATCAGCCAGGAGCTTGCTATGAAGCAAGGCTTATGGCAGATGCAATTTATTTGCTTACAATAGAAATGACAAAAGACATCTCAAACATCATCGATGAAAAGGAGAAGATGGTTTAGACAACTTCTTTATTTATATCTCTAACATACTGTTCTTAGTTTTTCAAAAACTCTCTGAGTATTAAAGTACCAGCTAATGTCTTGTTGGTTGTCTTGTTGGTTGCAAAATACCACAGAAAAACGTTGAATACAAATCTGACTAAAACCCAGCTAAATCAGATTTGAAGTGCTTGTGATAATTGTTCAACATTTCTTTCCACGATTCTTCAACATATGCTGAAGTTTTACACCAAGCACTTATAACCATTTAAATTTAAAAAATATATACATATACATATATATATACACGTATACATATACACGTATACATATATATACACGTATACATATATATACACGTATACATATATATACACATATACATATATACACTGAGTGAAATTTCCATAGTTCCACTGAGATGTTTTTTTTTTTTTATACAAGAATTTTTAGGAATAAATAAATATGCAAATAATATTTTAATAGAAAATAATTATTAATTTATTACGTAAAAAACTAAAAGTCAATAAAACTTTGAAAAAACATGCAAAATTTCTATATTTCCATCAAAAGTAAACCTTAATAATTTTTGCTTTAAAAAACAATTTTTCAATTCTTTTTATAAGATTTTCCAAACAAACCTTTGAAATACCACTCCATGCTTGTTGGATAGAAGTTTTAAGTTCTTATATCATAATATACTGTTGAGAATTTCTATATATATTGTACCAATATTCCCCATAAATTTTCAATGGGGTTCAAGAGAACAAGATGGCCAATCCAAAACATGTATATTTTTTTCCTGGAACCACTTTTTTACACTTCGTGCTTTGTGAATTGCCACCAAATTATCTTGTTGGAAAATCCAATTTTCAGTAGGTAAACATTAAACTCGATTAAAACATCCTATAAAAGATCTTTGTAATTTCTTGCATTCATTTTTGTTGTAATATAACATATTGGAACTTTGCAGTGAAAACAAAATGCAGCCCACATCATAACTGCCCTTCCTCCTAAGTTAAAACTCATAGCCATGCTATCTTTTTTTTCAAATCATCCCAATAATACTTAAAACTATCAGGTCCATTAAAAAAAATTTAGAAAGTTAAGTTAAATTTTTTTCATCAAAAAAAAAAAACATTTTCCCATTCTGCATCCTATGTCATGACATGGTTCTTGGCAAACTCAAACCTTGCACTTTTAAGTTTTTTTTAATCAATGGTGGTTT